GCTGTGAACAATTGTATCGCCGTAGCTCTATTGGTTTAACCTTAAATCACCGTAGCTCTCTTGGTTTAACCTTAAATCACCGTAGCTTTATTGGTTTAACCTTAAATCACCGTAGCTCTCTTGGTTTAACCTTAAATCACCGCAGCTCTATTGGTTTAATCTTAAATCACCGTAGCTCTATTGCTTTAACCTTAAATCACCGTAGCTCTATTGGTTTAACCTTAAATCACCGCAGCTCTATTGGTTTAACCTTAAATCACCGTAGCTCTATTGCTTTAACCTTAAATCACCGTAGCTCTGTTGCTTTAACCTTAAATCACCGCAGCTCTATTGCTTTAACCTTAAATCACCGCAGCTCTATTGGTTTAACCTTTAATCACCGTAGCTCTATTGGTTTAACCTTAAATCACCGTAGCTCTATTGGTTTAACCTTAAATCACCGTAGCTCTATTGCTTTAACCTTAAATCACCGTAGCTCTATTGGTTTAACCTTAAATCACCGTAGCTCTCTTGGTTTAACCTTAAATCACTGCAGCTCTCTTGGTTTAACCTTAAATCACCGTAGCTCTATTGGTTTAACCTGAAACTTACCAATATACGCTGACAACAGTAGCCTTTCATCAAATTTCCTTTTACTTCAGTTTCTAAAACAGGGTCTTTGAACATTTAATTTTGATCAGTATTTTCATGCACATCAGTTTTAAGTTTCCATTCAATTGTTACTTTATTTGTCTTGTCTGTCAAAGAAGGCCTTTAGTCAAAACGTACCTGTTATTTTCCTGTCTTTTTTTTTTTTTTTTTAAATCCAAAACATATCTTGTTCCACTATTTATTTACAAATAGTTTGATAGATGTTGCTTTTATTGCCTCTTGCTTCTAGTCATTGACTGTAAAAACCCGCCTCCAAGTAAGAACGCTATCGTCCAAATGGCGGCTACGACCTTTGGCCAAAGGGCCAGCTACTCTTGTGGATTGGGCCACAAGGTTTCCAGTGGTGATACGACACTGACGTGCGACTTATCTGGAAACTGGACGGGGCAGGTCATAACATGCACAGGTACACATTAATTAAACGTTACAAAGGGCAAGTTTTGAGTTATCGTCTTTAAACGCAAAACAAAAAGTATTAAATGATTTTCAAATCACCGCAAAGTTTCTTCTCCCCCTTTCCCCCCCCCCCCCCCCCTCTTTTTTTTTTTTTTTTTTAAATTGTCACTCAAAAAGAATGGATTGCGTTTTCAAACGTGGTGCCCATTTATATTAACCTAGCATTTACAGCGTTGCTTTGAGAGTTCAATGTACCGACACATTGTCACACATACAGGCAAACATGCGCACTAACATCACACAAAACAAAACACGTTTCCACGTCATCAACAGAAAAGGACTGTGGCGTCCCGTCGTCTAGCGGCAACTCGCGGCTGAGCTTCACGGCCACGACGTACGGATCACAGGCAAGCTACACGTGTGACAGTGGCTTCGAGAAGGGTGAAGGCAGCGAACTCAGGGTGTGCCAGGACGACGAGATGTGGAGCGGCCAACCTCCCACTTGTACTCGTAAGAACTTTTTAAACATTTGCGTTTGTCTACTGCCGGTATTTCGAATCCCGTATAGGTCTAAATACATGATTCGCATACTTTACCTTTACCAACACTATTGGGGTGAGGGGACAGAATGATGAGTAAGCATGACGTTCATTCATCTCTCGTGCCCCAAACGTTATCCATATTTTTACATATATTTCTCAAAACGATTTTTTTTTTTTTTAAATAGTTATTTAGATCAAAATGTATGATGAATAAAAATTTCCTTCCAAAAAAAAATTTCTAAAGTTGAAGCGAATCAGAAGACTGATGGTTATTTTGGGGGAAGTGGGGATGGTAACTCCTTAGAAATGAATAGAGCCCACTCCAGTAGCACCGAACTGTCAGGTTAAATAATAATAAATAATAATTTTTATTATTATTTCTTAATGTCTAGTCCTCACGTGCGGCCCTCCACCTGTCTTCGCCGGCGCTCGCCATTGGACTGACAAAGGTGAAGTTCAACTTGTCTACAAAGATCAAGTGCACTACGAATGTTTCTACAAGGAGGCCGGTAGGGAAGATCTACAATGGACTCTGGAGTGTGGGAACAACAAGAACTGGATTGGACAGGAACCACAGTGTGGAAGTGAGTAAGAACTGGGTGGGGAACTGGGTTGGACAAGAACCGCAGTGTGGAAGTGAGTAGGAACTGGATGGGAACTGGGTTGATTTTTTAAAAAATTGTGATCATAACTACATATGCTAACTTGGGTGCTAGAATTATTTTGTTCTTTGTAAAAAAAATTCAGAACATATATGGGGACCGTCCATAAAGTACATCACGCTCCGGAAGGGGTGGGGTAGAGAAGGGTTCTTAGAATGTGGGATAGTTTGTGACACAAAAGACCGAGAGGGGGGAGGGCGCTAAAATCGCCTTTAGATAGGACTTTAAAAGGGAATTAAACGATAGGTCATTTTACTCACAATGACAAGGAGCGCCAAAATAGTCATTTTACTTGTCATTTGTACATTTTTTTTTTAATATACTAAGGGAGTCAATTTCAGGATTCGCTCCTGGCGTCTATTTTCCTCGGCATGGCTTACGATACCTATTTCTGTTGAAATTGTAGGATAATTTTTTAAAATATTAAAATAAAAAAAATAAAAAAAGACTTTCTATATAAGACGAGTTAAAACGCATTAAAAAGGTAGAAAATAATTTTTAAATTTATTAAAATGCATTACGCAAAGCAATGCAGTATTATTTTCCAGCCATTCATCGGGTGAACACTGGACAAGAAAGACTAAGTCTTAAAATTTATGTGTGAATTTTTTTATTTTTTAAATTACGCTCCTCAAGATAGAATTAATGTAAACCTCCTTTAAAAAGGGGAGATAATTGATTTAATAAAACATTTGACCTTAAACAATTGAGTTGCCTTTCTTATTTGCTCTTGCACCTCTAGGTACCAGCCCAGTGAAACCAGAAAAATTTACACCAGCTCCCACGGAGGCCAAGTGGGGCTGGGCCCTGGGGGCTGGAATACTCGGCGTTCTTGTGTCTATAATAGCACTTTTTGTTGTCCTTGACGTTGCTTTGTTAGGAAGACATTCGAGGTTCTGTAGAGCAAACATTCGCTCCTGTAGGTGAGCATAAATAGTATTAATGCGTTTTGTGACTGCTTCGACTTCCGTTGTCTGGTAAGTTATGTAAAACTATGTAAACAGGTTACATGGAGTACTCTGATAAGCAATATTACTCTATGTCTGCCATATGCCACAGTCGGGGAGATAGCGCTTTTTTTCTGTATTGTCTTTTTTTTTTAAATATATGTTTTTGGTTTCTTATGAAAAGTTCTAGGTTCTGGCATCAGCCAAATTATGAACTCAAGGGGATTTAATTATGTTAATCTGTCATGAAGTAAAGCATGATTAAAAACATTTAGCCCAGTGGAAACTCAGTCTCAGGGGAGAAAATATTGAATACCCTTTGCACACATTTGATTGAAAGCCATCTGTTTTAGTTTTAGTGGTTTCGGAGATGGAGCCCTCACAAAAAACACTCACTTATCATTCTCCGATTCTGACATGTACTATGATGTACTGCCACCTGGCTGTTCAGTTTGTTATAAACTTTTTTTACTAGTATTTCTGTGTGTTTAATCAATTAATTTTTTTTTTTTTAAAATCCTTTTCAGGAAAAAAATGGCTGAAAAAATGCATCAAAAGAAAGTGAATCCTTATAATTCTTCACCTCCAGCCAAGCAGGGAAATCTTCCAGATATTTCTGACAAAAATGGAATTAACGTTATTACAAATCTAAGCCGTTCAGAGTTGCCCAACTCTACCTCATTGACGGCCATTGTTTTATGATGTTTTTATAACAGTGTGTTTAACATATTTGGCTTAGATTTTTTCATAACACATAAGTCTTAGAGAGTGCAGTTTCCTCAATGAATATTTCTACATATAAAAATCTCGTTAAACCATTGTACTGTAGCAAACAGAATATGATGAGTTTTGTAAAAAATGCAAGCTTAAATATTATTTGTGATTACCATTATACCGTGGAGGTGAGCTGAGCAGGTAGCAGAGACTTTTTTTTTTCAAGTAAAAAAGAACAAACAAACAAGGAAATCTGTTTACCCTTCCAACTTTTTTTGTGTGCGTCACTCACAGCAAAGTTGAAAAGTTGGTGCATGCCTCTGTGTATATATGTAGTAAATCCTAAGTTAGAAAATTACTTTATATTGATCATTTATCAGCTATTTTATTTTAAAATAATTAAATCATGAACCAAATCAACAGTTCGTTTTTCTGTTGTAATATTTGCTTTTTTTTAATTGACCAACCATCAACAATGTATTATTTCAATAGATTCAGCTGTGATGACTATTCTCTGTCTATTGAGAACAGTGATTTTCATATATTTTAGGTGAATATATTTTGTACAACCACTGTATATCTCTAAAGTGTCATCTCTTATAAACTGGTACTCCTTCCAGGTCACAGATTTGTTCAACATTTGTTTAATGAAATGTTATCGATAGATACATTCTATGATTAAAAAAATTGTGTGTTATCAAAATTAAGTTATTTTTATGTTACCTACAGACCAGACTTCAATTCTTGAATGTTAGTTACATTTTTTTCCTCCAAGATTTAAGTGTAAATAACCCTTTAAGATTTTTTAAAAGTTTAAAAAATGCATTATTTTTAAATTTGTTATAATTCTGTGATAACATACTGTAGATTGTTTCAACGAATTTCTTATACTTCAAGAAGATGAAATAAAGACGATTCATAAATAAATCCTTGTTCTTTTGGCTTTTTTGTTTAAAACATTGACAAAACGTGTTAACATTTCACAACTTAATATTTGATCCTCTGATTATGTACTATTAGTCATGATTTGTATTTCCAGACTCACAGATAAGTTGGTATTTATTTGATAAACTAACAATTTTAAAATCAAACATGTCTCTTAAAAATATTTAATCAGCCTTCATATGAAATAAAAATCAAGGTGGTTTTTTATGTGAAAATGATCATCAATTGAATTATTTTTTATTAAAAATTTTAATCAAAATCAACTCAATTTTAATTTCCGTAACATGTTTGAGATTAGCTCAACATATAAAATAATCACAACAGTATAACAGAGTCTCAATCACATGATGGATTCACACATTCCCTTGCAGTTCTTTTTAATTGAAATCTTATAGATGCACTATTTACTATTTTCTTTTCAGTGAAAAATAATGAAAATAAATTTTAGTATTATTACTTATACATGTATTAAAATAATGTCTTAAGGCAAAGTCAATTTTAAGAAAAAGATAATATATGAAAAATAATTTACCCGTTGCAGGTAGCAAACTGTTGATAGAAGATGCCAACAAATGTATATTTTAAGAATTTCATGTTGATACCATAAAAATTCCATTGATTTAAGTTGAGTCCTCTCAACTGTAACATTTTAAAATAAAAATGGACAACAAGATGCAGCTAGAAGAAAATATAAAAAAATTTATTTCTAATATGAAATTAATAATAATTAAAGGTTGCAATTAAGCACAATAAGAGGCGAAATATTTGCAAGACATTGTTTTTTAATTATTATATAAATGCAAGAAAGATTGTTAAAATGACAAGACAAAAAAATTAATTCTCTAAGAATTTCTCAATAATGGTCAACTCTTACATTTAATCATTTTACAATGTTTTTGAATTCTTTAATCAAAGAAATGCATAGAAATTAAATGGAAGTATTTTGCAATTGAAAGGAAACAATGCTGTATTTTTATTGCATGATACATATTTTTTTTTTTTATGTCCATTGAATGGAAACAGATTTAATTAATGAATACCATCAAAAACCAATTTTGTTATTTATATAAAAATTAAAAGGCTTCAAAAACTGGGTGAGAAGAAAACTAAAGACACTGAACTATTCAATGGATAATTCAAACCTATTTGAATTGTCATAAACATAATGGATTTCAAGTACCTGTATTTTTTTTGGTACCATTTATATTAGTTTCCTACAGCTAAATCCTTGAAGTCTTTTCTGTATTTCATATAAGTTTTAAAAATTGTGCAATGCCTTTATTGCATAGTGAATTCCCTTTTTTGGCATCCATTTATAGATTTCCATACAATCAAACATAAATAAACTTTATTATTATTATTATACATACATTTAGAAAAAAAGTATATTAATCTATATTTATATGAAATCAAATCAGATCTGAAATAGAGATTCATCCAGGAGTAGAGTATTAATTCATAAGATTTTCTTTTATCTCTCTTCTGGTATTTAATGAAATAGCTTCTCACGGAGTATATATTGACCACTCAACAGATCTTTCCCCCTAATCATTATAAATAAAATCTTGCAAAATGTGAATTAAAGCAAAAAGAAATGCCATAAAAATTCCTCATCAATAGCATTAAGTTCAATAAGTAATCTTAAGGAATGATAATAATTTTGTAACTACATTGAGTATTATATTTTTATAAAGCAAGGCTTTCCTTAGTTTTAAATTTTTACACTTGAAAAGTTTGTCATTTATTTTTAATAAATAGAACAATAGAGCTAAAATTATGTACCATAAACATGCGTTAAAATAAAATTATTTTGAAGCAGGAAAAACTTAACACAGCCATTTAGTCACAACTAATTTTATTTTTACATGTTTTTATGTTGTTTTTTTTAAAAATTGCTAAAAAAAAAAATTAAGTTGACAGTTTTCTTTAAAGTTTAAAGCTAAATATAATCTAGGTAAAAAAATAATTACTTTTTGTATAGGTTACTCATTATGCAATGGTTACATTCAGTTCAATGCAGTAAACTGGCTTAGCTCCATATGTCAGTTCAATTTTAGCATAATAGTCTCCATTAGGAACTTCTCCAACATTAAAATCAATGGCACTTGTTGGAATGGAATAGTGGCCCTGAGAGTAGAAGGTTAAAATAGAAAAAAATGAGTTCTTTTAAAATACAAACAATTATTGTTTAAAACTAAGACACTGCCAATATGATTGCTTAAAATATTTTTGTTTTTTTAAACAATCAAATAAAGTTCTCCAATATCAGTTATCATTTTTTTTAAAGTGACAAAAAATATTTTTTTTTAAAGAAAATCATCAATTCAGGTTCAAAATCACTTTTCAAACTATCACATTTTACATTTCTAAATTGTTAGAACTTTAAAAAAATATTCTTGAAATAAAAAATGTAATGAAAGCAATTACCTGTGTAAACGGACATTTGCAAGGGACTTTATTATCCACAAATGGCTGTGGACAAACAGCTCCAGCTAAAACATCACACATGTCTTCATAGGTACAGGAACCTATGCCGCCTATACAAGGAATACGGATCCAAAATGTCTCCAGTTTCTTTTTTAGTTCCACTGCCATCTGTTAAAAAAAATTAATCAAAATAAGTATTCCAGATGAAAGCTTGGCACACACACTAAAATTCAATGATGAAACATGGTAATTTCCATTTTAAGTATGGCAAGGTAATTAAAATGACTAATAAAGGAATAACATTTCCTGATGTAATTTCCAACAGTAAAACAGTCATTTTGGTGTCTTGGTTTTCTTCAAAAGATGTGTTATATATATATATATAGAGATAGATAGATAGATATAGATAGTTTAGTAAAGCTATCTACATAAAAAAGAAATAACCATAGTTTTACTAAAACCTTTAGTGGAGCATCAACAGTTTCAGATAGTTCACCATCAAAAGTGAGTTTTATTACGCCAGGTATAACAAGAGGATCAGGTGACACATTTAAAACATTGAGCTTTCCTATCTGAGCTGTGCCATTGTCACATTGTTGCCACTTGAATGAGCCTAGAGCACTTGATGATTTCTGCGAAAAAAAAGTCCATAATTAGATACTTAATAATTGAATATGATTACAGTCAAGATAATAGCAAAAATTCAGTTAAACATTTTAACAAAATATTACTTCATCCTCTATTTTTTAATTGTGTTACTTTTACTCATGACAAGTTTTATCTCACCACCCGTTAATAAATCATAGAAAATTATTCTTCCACTTCCAGGTATTTAACTTATTTTTATTAGAAATGCAAAGATAATAAATAATAATACTAAAGTTCATTTCAAAAACACGCTTCATCCCCAAAGGCTCGAAGCGCGGTACAAAGTCAACAAAAAATATCTATAATTCACCACATTTAAAACAAACGCAACACTACAAAAACTAATTACAAGCATACAATATCAAAGTCTTTCTAGCCATTTCAACCCGGAACAACACAGCAACACATGGAAAAGAAGGTAGACAATCATAGGGGGGGGGGGGGGGGGGGGGGGGGGGGGGGAATTTCTGAAATAGGCCTATAATCACTGATGATATACCTTAATTTAATACAAATACACTGCACTATCAAATTTCACAAACATACATTTCGTTAATGGCACTTATACCTTGGAGTCAGTCAGATGATCAGTATTTGACTTAGTACTACTTACTACTGAACCACTGAGTCTGGATCTGTGACCGATTTAAATTTAATGAATAATAAAGAGAAAAGAAAAATGTTTTTTTAATATGACGTTAGTACCTATATATCTTTATATCTTACCCTGAACTTTCTATCTCCAAAGAGATCTACGATTTTAAATAGTTCATTGTTTGGTAAAGAATATGTCTTGGTTTCAACATATTTTATAACTGCGTCACCATCTTTTTCATCAACGCCATCGACACTCAACTCGGACTGTTCTTCAATTACCATTTGTTTAACATTTGTACGAGCCATAGAAAATGAAAGTCCAAACAAAGAGACAAAAAACAATAAAGACTTTTGTGATAACATTTTTAAATAGATGAAAATGAAGTCAATGAAGTTGATTTCGTTTCTTTTGGTCGTATTATCGAGTCTAAACTCGAAACGAATGAAGTTGAGAAAACAATAAGCCTTCCCGACACAGTCATGTGATATGCGGTCACGTGGTTAAGCGAAACAAAAAAACTTAGCTACGGTGTTTCCCAAAGTGGTGGTCGGCGGACGCTAGCTTTACATAGCCGGTTCGTACGACATGAGACAGGAAACTGTATAAAATGTAAACACTGATAAACAGCCGTTAAAAAGAAACGTTTAGGCTAACGGCAGTTGTTGGGGGTTTTTTTAATTTTTATTTTATGGCACATTATTAAGGTCAAATAAAAAAATTATAATGAATCTGGCCCCGTCCTTAGTAATATATTATATATTTCAGTTTATCGCACGTTTTGGATTTAGTCCCAAGTCCCAATCAGCATTTATTTAAAATACGCTATTGAATGAAATGAATGGTTAGGTTAGGTCATAAATAGTCATAAATTAATATTAAAGATCTTGTGTAACATGAAAAAAAAAATTTGAAATCGATTGTGATGTTAAACTTTCTGTTGTGATGGCAGCAGGGTTTCTTTCAGCTATATCTCGGGGG